CCATGGCAAAATGAGGAATTAATTTTAATAAAAGGTATTCAGTTCAGTTCAATTTCAAGGACCAAATCATAACATAAAAAGGTCAAGACCTTAAATTTATAGAGAGACCCAACAGGGTCATGCAGTGAAAGTCGTATAAACTATTGTCTAAACAAATTCAATGTCACTGTCTGATTGCAGTACGAGGCAGGACTTCAGGAAAGGGTCAGTTTCAAGTACAGTGGAAATATAGAGAATGCTTAGACATCGCTGCTGATTGATGCACATCAGATGTGTGGGGCAAAAAAAAAAAAAGAACAGTAATACATGCCTGTTAAGACTCATCTCAGGAGCAAGGACATGTCAGCTAAGAAAGACATGTAAGAAGAAAAGAAAGAAAAGAGAAACATCCAGCAAAGCATGAAAAAAAATTATCAACAATTAAAGCCAGAAATCCACAACCTGTGAAAGTAAAGACCAGAATCCCAAAGAATGTGTATTTTCATTTTGTGAAAAATTAATTTAAAATAAAAAAGAAGCGTTAAGGTGTTAAGGTGTCACATCTTTTCAGTGTGCTTAAATCAGACTCTGGTTCACTTGGTGGGATTAATTTGGGCAGGTGGGATTACTGTAATCACAGACTTTTAGAGGAGGTGGTCCCAAACAAACAATGGAGCAGTAGGTTTGTGGTGGGAATGTGATCCAATCTTGTTTCGACCGAACAAGCAGGTGTATTCTGCTAGTTTGAGCTAAACTGCTCCTGTAGCCAGATATGCTTTGTTTTCTAGGGAGCACACAAACTGTGGCAGCTTGTGTACTAGCAGTGGTAGCTCCATGTTAAATTCCATGGAAATGTTTCTCTTACAGAAATATACACTAGTTCAGAACACAGGGTGTGAAAACACCTTTAGAATTCAGTCCACCATTTTTAGAGAAAGACTTTTATTAATACAATAAAATAGATAAGGATTGTTGTAGTTCCTCACCTCTCCCATGCTTGGGTTGTCAGCTTTGTGAGCAATGAGGCGCTGATGAACCTCGTCAGCCAGTCTAGCAGTCTCCTCTGGTCCTCTAAAAAACAGAGAGACATACAACAGAATCAGCAAATAAATTCAGTAGTAAAGCAACTCCAGTATATGCAAGGTTTTCATACTTGCGGTAACGGATTGCAGGGTACTCCTTAAGTGTGTCACACAGGGTTGCAATCTGCTCAGCCAGATTTTCCATCATTTTGTCTTTTCCTTCATTTGGCTTCAAACTATAGAAATGGTACAAGGACGACGGGTCATCCAGGGAGAATACCTGCAAGTATGAGAGGAATTGACATTTAGTTTTTCCATTTTATGTTTGTAACAACCAAGCTACACCATGCAATATTTTTACAGTACATTCACAATGAAAAAATGACTGTGTGTAATGTGAAAGAGTTCATAATGCTCATAAAGTCCCCAGAGTACAGTTGTTCTCAGCATCTTTCAGGTGATTGTTTTACAGACCACAGCTTTACTGTTGTGTTTCACCTTTGGCACTCTCATAAACTTAATTTTCAAAACCAGTGGGCTTACGTTTAAGTGTCAAGGTTCTGACAAACCCACTGTACACTATAAGGCCAGCACCAAACTCCACCAAACTTGACAGAAATAATGAGGAGCTGTTGAACACAGTAGAGCAATTAGTAGCTAGAGTTAAGAGATTCTTTTTTGTTGTTGAGATTTTGCTCTCAACTGCAACCAAAACACACCTACAATGAAATTGAATCAGAAAAATGCAGCCAAAAACATTAGTTAAGGGATAACTCCCTACCTGAGACTCATACGGCAGAAAAGCAACGTTGATCTCTTTCAAAGTCTTCACGACCTTGGCAACTCTGGATTTACCAATCTCAGCAAAGAGACCATCTGGACAAGCTGTGGAAGAATTTATTTAAAAAACTGTCAACGTTCTGCTTAGAACATTAGAATGAACTAATAAACCAAACTATATATCATTATAATATTAAATGAATAACATAAATAAACATAGTACACTGTACAGAAACAGAAAAACAGAGAGAGCATCTTACTGTCAGTGAAGAAGATGTGCACTGCTTTGTATGTAAATGCAGCATCTTTGAAGTCGTTAATGAGCGCACGAACAGACTGTAATTTAGAAAGAAATTGATTTAAAGATAAAGAATATGAAAAAGTAACATCATAGAGGGAATTCTAGGCAAAGGCTTACCTTCTCCACTGGTGAAATCAAATAAATGGCCTCCAAACTAGAGATGGGCTCCCTACGTTTGTTGATGTCTTCCACAACTGAAAAGCAGAAAAGACAGGAATTGTGCTTAAATTTCAAATTCTGACTTATATTAATATCACATGTAGTAAATGCTGGAAATAATTTCAGGTGTGTAAGCAGAATGGTACAAGATTAATTTTCCATTGGAAGAATCAACCAGTCTGTCTAGTTTGTGGTTTTTTTTTTTAAAGCCTGGAAAAAATGCTTTTACAAATAAAACCCAGGATTTTCTTTGATTGAGATTTTAGGGAAAGAGGTGGTGGTGGTATAGACTGCATATCTTTCATTTTCATCAAATCAGTCAGTGAGAATTTATGCTGTGGGCATTTTGGACATTGGAAAGTTTACTTCTATCGAGATGTAACGTAGGGAAGAGCAGGAGCATTTTCTGTGAGCAAGACAATATATTTCACACTAAAATAAACTTTCACAACCCTGCTCTTACTTTACCGTATAGGCAAGTAAGAGTATCCTCTCTTGTGTATACAAGTGATCCATGGGATGCAACAAATAAATTATCTGCACACTTACTGGTCACCCCCTCGGCCAAAATATCAGACATCTTGCAGCAAGATGACAGAATACGCATGCTCGTGTGATCCACAATAAGAACCTGAAGAAACACAATGTATGCAAGGACTGTAACTTCAGTATAACAAAATCAGAGGTGTTTTTTTTTAATCATTGGTCAACTTTTACCTTCCATTCTCCATCCTTCCGCACACTCTTAATGACCCCATTAAGGATTTCTGTAAGAGAAAAGAAAACATTCATAAGTGCTTACACTAAGTTAGAAATATTAGAAATGCCACACAAAAAGTAAAAAACAAGTGACTTAATTTAAAAATGTTCTTGATGCTGACAGGTTACAAGAGACTCAAAGAAAAGTGCGCATTTTCATGTCTTAACAGAGTGCAATGGTTAGAGGCCCCATCTGTGTGTAGAACTCTCTAAATCAGGAATCTGGAACTTTTTTAATGCATGGTTGTTTCCCCCAACAAACAGATGAAACACACTGCAAAACTGCAGTGTGGATCTCCTTACCCCAAGGAGGGAATAGCAGAGGCAATATTTGACACAAAACCCATTATATTTAGTGTGGCTATTGTTCAGGCCAACATCTTTGCCCCTCAGCTAAATATTTTCCTCTGGGAAACCCTGAACTACACCTGCACTGCAACTGTATCCCCTAACACTTGAATGTCAGTGTCTTACAGTGCACAGAGAGAAGGAGTGGATGAAAAGAAACATGGAAATTATGTGTGACGTGCCTCACTCAACTTCCTTATTTGACTTATAAACGCAGCAGTCACTTCCTAATACATATGACTCATTGTTTTATTAGAACAGTTTTTACCAATTGACATGACACTTGTCTGGTTATAGGATAAGTTTAACTCTGCAGTTAATGATGAAGAAAAAACATTATTGCCCTTAAACTTCTTTTAATAACCATTGAAATCATTTCTTTCTGGGTCAAGATGATTAAAATAAAAAGGCAGAACTATGGTATTGCCTGTACTATCATGCATTAATTGCACTGTTTACAATAATAATTGTGCAATCTATCTCAATCTAGACAACTGGTAAAGGGGAATACTTGTAACTTGAGCCCTCCACATTATAGCAGAGACCCATTAAGCTATCTGGATCTTAACCCATATGTTTGGTCATTTTTTAAATGTGAGAAAAGAATAAAACTGGATAGAAATTGCCATGAGATGTGTATTGATTGTAAAAGAATAGACTAGACCTTAATTGACTTTATTCTGCCAACGCTCAGAATTTATTCCTAATGGTGACAGATTTCATCAGATATTATCATCGCAACAAGGGAGAGCGCCCATGCTTTGACTCAAGTTGCATGGATAACAATAATTTTGACCATCCGATAAACCTCGACATTTGGCCGCATTGCACAATTCTAACACCTTTTCCAGAGTCTCACTATCCAACCCAACAAATACACATGTTCTCTAAATCTAAAACATACAAAGGTGTGTATTCCCAAACTCACAGATTTAATTTGATTATAAAGCTGCGAGAACAGCAAGATGTTGTTGATCTTTAAATGCTGGGCAAGGTCAGGGTTACTTGTATTACCAGTACATGCCTGAAGATTTCAACAACTGTGGGTGTGTTCACACTACACTCCCATCATACATACTAACTAACAACATAATGAAAAGAATGCACTGACATTATAAAACAGCTCAATTTAAACTCTTCTAATGTGTCATAACATATTGTTTTGCCTTTATGGAGAGTTGTTATACACAATGCATAACTATGTCTAATATTTAATTATTATTGATTAGATATTTTACGATACACATGTAAATTGAGCATCAGTTATCATTAAGTTAAAACACCTAAAGTTAGGATGGTACTGATGTTTAGATGACATCATAAATGTTCCTGCTCCATCACAGGCGCAGTCACTCAACTTCCTCCTCGGTTAGCTCGCTAACGTTAGCATAGCATCAAACTTGGGACTGTCCCTACATCCACACCGCGACTCTTTCTCGGTTTCCTCGTCCGCAGAACGTCACAACGACACGACTCCACTTTCCCTCTGAAAACGATGCTACCGACATTGTAACGCAACAACGCCACGTTTAACCCCCTCCCCCCCCCACTTCCAATATTTACTTCGGCGATGTTAGCCTTTAAATTGGGACCGTGACAGGAAGAACCGAGGTCCCCACAACAATGGTCCCGGTGGTTCGTCTAGCTTCCGTTTACGAAACTGCTATAGCGTCACGTCACGTTTATTTTCTCGTGTGCGTTATTTCTAACAGTGTCTTCAAGATATCAACGTTAGAACCAATGTGTCACTTACTTTCCCCAACTACCGCCTTCAGTCCGCCCGCTGCCATCTTAACAGTCAGCAGGTCGCTCACTTCCTTGTGACAGTCTGCGAACGCACACAGGTATTCACAGAGAAACACTGCCCCCTAACGTCTGAAGAGAGAAACAAAAAACACACGACAGATGATACGTAGATGGATAGAAAGATAGATGGATAGATAGATGGATAGATGGATGGATGGATGGAAGGATGGATAGATAGGTAGATAGATAGATGGATGGATGGATAGAAAGATGGATAGATGGATGGATGGATGGATAGATAGATAGGTGGATGGATGGATGGATGGATGGATAGATAGATAGATAGATAGATAGATAGATAGATAGATAGATAGATAGATAGATAGATAGATAGATAGATAGATAGATGGATGGATGGATGGATCGGTAGATAGATGGATAGATAGATAGATGGATGAATGGATGGATGGATAGATAGATAGATGGATAGATAAAGATGCAGCTTATAGGACAACACAAAACAAACAAACATATGTATTGTGCATATATAAACATGTAATCGCTCACTTTGCATCTAATTGCATTTTGTGTCTGTTTCTAATCTTCCTTGTCTTTCTTGTTGTTTTGCATCTCCACGTAGTTCCTTTGTTGTTCATTTGCATCTCCATGTTTTTACTTTGTGACTCTCTGTAGTTGTTTTGCATCTGTTCTTACTTGTTTGTGTAGTTTGAACATATGTATGTTGTTTCATGCAGAGGCTCTGGCCTCTTGGACTCATGGGCCTGTGCCTAGTGTAGCCCATTCAAGAATACCAGTAAATAAAACATCATAATTTGACTGTCAGCAACATATCACAAGAGGATTATTATTTATCAGCCCATCACATCATAAAAATATTATCATATCATATTTTGAATCTGACTTTTAAAATGAGTAGCAGCTGCAAAAAAGAAACAGCTGCAAGAAAGAAATACACTCTCTCTGTATTGGCAGTGTCTCCAGGCACCGACTGTGAAACAATTGGCTGCCCACTTTTAATTGCCAAATATTTGAGGGTATCATTTGGTGGGCCTTGGGAAAGCCATGTCATCTCATCATCAGGATGGATGAGATGTTTGGCATATTGTTTCGCATGATTATTGTCAGGGCACATCCAAGACTTAATATCGCCCAGACAAGCCAAGTTCATACTCTGGAGATCCAACATAGCTGTTCTGGTCTAAAGGAAGCTCATGTCCTATTCTAATGGTTTATGAACTGTTACTCTCAAGCATGTGAGAACAAGTGTTACCTCTTAAAATAAACTACCTCACAACTGTTGCATTTGTTTTCCTGTCAACACACAATCTTTGTGCTATGTGGAGCCAGAGAACTGACAGCATTGTAGCTGCATATAGAGCAGCATCATTCCACTCCTGAGTAGGGTGATAAATGCATATTAATATGCAATGAATGCTTGTAATACTTACTTTGCAAGAATATCCTGGACAATGGAGTATTTTGAAGGTATTGAGTTATGATGATAACTCAATAACGATGATGACGTAGCTAAATTGCATGGTAATAAATGGAGTCAGGGTAGATACAAGTAAGCAGTTTTTGAAAATTGTCTTTATTTATGCGTATTTAAGAAGAGGCACAAAACAGGAGACACAGGCAAATTACTGCTCCTGTTATTTGAAAAAAACCCAGCATAAAATACACCTATAAATATTAAGATCATGTTAAATGGTTTGTATTTATTTAACCTACCCTCATTTTTTAAGCAAACGCAGTAATTGCAATTTCAACAGTGATAAATTATTACACAAATAAGTCATCAGAAGTTGAATACTCATGTGTGGTCAAGGTATGACATGTAAAACAAGTGATTTTATTTAAATATACAGGCATCTACTGACAATTCCCAATGAAACATTCAGTGCCTCTGCAATGCAACAAATAGCACTGCATTTCTACCAGAGCTATATTGATAAAAAATATATAATAACTCAGCTAGTGTTTGCCAGAAGATATAAAGTGGAAACATGTTCAATTGTCTGATGAGAACAAATATGATCTATGTGGTTATGTTCAATTTGTGAAACAGCAGCCCTCATCTGAAAGGCTCTATCACCACCAGGAGGGCTGGTGGTGCTAGTGCATATCTGCAGAGGACCCAGAGAACTTGAGAAGGTTGAGGCTACAATAAACGTAGCAAAGCAGATAAATCACTGACAAAAACCTCCTGAAGTCTGCACCTGACTTGTGGGAAGATTTATTGTCACAAATGCTACTAAAATAAATCCAGGCAGTAACACAGGTGCCTCTACTGAATGCAGCTTCAAGGGGGCGAATACTTTTCCAACCCTCTACTTTACGATTAATGTTTGTGCTTGATTTAGATCAGTTAACCGGAGACGTATTTTAAGTTTTGGTATTACAGTATGTTCCTGTGGCTCAGTTTGATTAATTACATCCACTGCGATAGAATGTGGTAAAACTCAACAATAAAATACATTTCATAGGCACTGTACCTCACAAAAATAAATCATGGTAATTATATAAAAGCCAACTGGATATCTAATTCAAATAATTATTTATTATACAACAAAATCACAGCAACTCACCTATTCAGGCATTCAAACACTTAAACAAATATTATGTCACTTGAACATGAAACATTAGGCTTCATATGTATAGTTAGGTCACAGACTTCTGATGAGATGTGGTATTCCCCCAGTCCAATCAGGTTTCTTTTGCTCCAAAAAACAGTCCCAAATAATCCTGCATCGGTACTGAGAAATCTTGCATTTCTTCAACACATAATCATCAGTTCTCAGATTCCTCAGAAATATTTTTATATATTCTCTGCTCCTTACGAACACGCATTCGCTCTTTGAAGTCCTCCAACTCTTTCCTCTGAAAGAAAGATATAGCACAATCAGGATTACATTGGTACATCAGTAAATCTGCTCTAAACAGGCTCCAGTGCAAACACTGACGCTTATGGATATTTAGTGCACTAAAAATTACATGGAGACAGTCAAATTATTCTAAATATAATAATGGTTTCAGTGTTGAATTGTGATGAAAAATGGAAAAACACTGTTTTGTGTCTGTGCCCTTAAGCTTGAAGAAGAAAAACACAGAAACACATAAAGCATGGGCTTAATAGAGCACTAAGAAATAAAAAACAAAAAATCCCAAATACATTTTTTTTATTAATAATTGAACACTATAGAAATAAATAGAAAGCCATATTAAAAAGATGATAAAAACAATACCACCCTAAGAGAGTACATGTGTAAATTAAAAAAATGAAAGTGTATTAAAGAGAGAGAAAGAGAAAATAATTTCTAATTAATTTAAAAGGATATACCTGATGTAAAATAGGGAAGCCAGACTAAAATGATATATCTTGAGTTTACTTTGAGTTTAACAGAGAGTGTGGACTTGATTAACACGTGATCTCTGTGTATTATACTTACATGCAGTGCCTCGTTAGGGGGGAAGAGCTCCCTCTGGAAACCAAACAAGATGCCATAAGAGAAAAGACAAGTGTCTGTTACTACAACAACCAGGAGTGGACTGATGTATGGATGATGACAAAACAAACAGCATCACTGACCTTTCTCTTTACTACATATTCCTCAAAGTATTCTGCTTGATTAGAGATCCAGAACATGGTCACGGGAAAGGACAGATACAACATCATCTGATCAAAACAAAAACAGACAGTGAGTTACATTAGAGCACAGTTACATCATGGCCACAGTTAGCCTCATGATACGGACTAGCTTGATCAGAACACCGGAGCAAGGCTGATTACGACGAAAATTACGACGTCATCGCCCACAGACTTAGTTTTTATAATATTTGCTACTTACTCTGAAAATCTCTATTTTAACGCCCATCTTTATCACCAGCTTCAGGCCCACAACGAGGAAGTGTTATCTAAACACCGACCATCGCCGAAGACCTTCACTCCACGCACACACTACTTCCGGGTTGCACTTGAAAGCCACGACGCATGCGCGAGAGTGCTCATAAATAAATATTTGTAGCAGACGTGAAACTTGTCAGACTCGTGAGATTTCGTTCCTACACAAAGTTCTCCTGTTAATAAACTGCAGTTTGCATATTTTACAATCTGAAGCTTACTTTTGGGTCGAAGCTGGAGCAGACTGTCCACTAGGGGACGCCGCAAACCACTGCTATTGATATATGCTATATATTTCCTGTGTAGCAGTGTAGCAACAAATATATTTTAATTAGGGCCAAAAATATATCAAGATAAAAATAATTCCTACAATACACTAACAAGCTCATCATTGACACGCCTATGGCAGGAAACAAGCGCAAGAGGGCGGGACAGACACTGATGGCGGTTGAAACTTCTGGAGGATGAAGATCCAGATGTTTTGCATGAGGCTCACACAGCAAAGAGGGTGAGAGTTGGCAGGTTGTCTTATATGAAAGGATGTTATATAGTGAACTGATTTGACTACATTAGAAGTGAAGTTTGTTCTCTTGGCCTTTTGAATTGTACTCAACACTTTTGAACATACACCTTCTACTGGGTGTGTACTTTGGGGGGTATATGAAGTAGCTATAATATCTTCTGTACGGATATTATAAAAGTAAACGTACTTGACTAAATTAGACGTTTGGACTTTTGCAGTACACATTTGCACGTAGCGTTTCCTGTAAATATGCTGTTCTGTTTGGTAAAATCTTTTTGGTCAGTTATTCTGGTGCACTGCACAGATATCATTCATCCTGTGGTTATTTATTTCTTTATTTATAAAACATAAAGACATTAAATGTTTCGACAGCCTTTTTGTTAAAGCTGAGCCCTAAAAGGGCACCAAAGTAGGTTTCTTGTTGCTAAATTCACATTTGTGTAAATAAAATTGCAAACATCAATATCAGATTTGTAATTTGTGAAAAAAAGAAGCCTTGTCTGCTGCTTGATGAAACCAAATACCACATTTCCCCTAAAGTAAAGTAAAGTCTTTGAGAATACAATCAAGAACAAACCTGCAAAAGTTTTTGGAGAGCTTTTTGTCGTGAGAGCAGATGTGTAACTGTCCCTGGAGCAGTTTGTGTTCATGTTTCTTTCACATTTCTGCACATAGTGATTAGCGGGGTAATATTTGTGAATGATTATGAAGGACACCTCCTCAACCCCATTCAAAATTAAACACGTGCGGGGGAAGCATGAAGCGCAAATTAAGTAGGGAGTGATTCGATCCGCTCGTTTCTCCGGAGCTGCAGCTGAAGCTGCAGTGACGCGCTCTGCACGTCCCCGACGAAAGACCTACGCGTGACGTCACCGACAACGAGAGGTGTTCAGGATCCTCGGAGAGAAAGATCCCGCGCGCCCTGGCAACCTGATAAACCCAGGTAAACGCCGTTGTTTCCAACATTATTCTGCCAGCCATGTTGTCGCAGCGAACCGAGCGAGTTGACGGCAAGAAACACGGTCACAGTGGCGTAAAGGGCTCAGATAACGCTGATGTCCGGCGCCCACTGAGACCGTTCACTTGCACGGCGGCCTGTTCTGGCTAGCTAGCTTGCTAGCTAAAGCTAGTTGGCAGTTGTCTGTCCAAAGACACAATAATCGCACCTCCATTGTGTCTGTCTGACAACCCTCGCCTGTCTCACCCACCGCTGGCCAAAACTACGCTGGAAGTGGCCCCAAAAATGCTGCTACGACCACCGAGCTGGGCATCTAGTGCTAGTTTGCTCGTCGACTGTCTTGTGTTGTGGGAGACGGTGAAGCCGTCACGGCGATGATGGCGCACACTCAGACTGGGGCTATTATCTGAGAATGCAGCCAGTGGAGCAGATAACAAGAATAGAAATCTAATGTCCAAAGCTCGCTTCCATGATCTCTGAAACTGGAATATCCGTTTCTTTGTACGCTCTTGCTTCCTCTCTGCACTGCACGGACGTCCATTACGACACCCAGGCAATAATCTATGCCCTGTGGCCTAACGTCAGGATCTTGGCTCCTCGACGATGGTCGCTGGCCAGCAGTCATTACTTTGCAGTTTATCGTTGTATTCATCACATCTGGTAATGATCCCTGTGGCGGACAGATGTGTTTGGGTTGTGTGTGTGTGACTAACGTGACTGGGTGTTACAGACACAAAGCAGTGGCATTCAGCCGACTGATGTGTTCAAACAGATTACTCATGCATAGGCCCGTTACTTAGCGCACAGTCCCTGCTGAGCACTGCTCTTTTACATGTATGAATGGTGTATTTCAATCATAACCATTGGCCCCGTCTATAACAGCTGGAAGCCTCACGTGTAACAACATAGAGGTTTATCCAAAGACAGACTATCAGGACTGCAGTCACATGCCTGTTTGAATAGGTTTTATTAAAAGTGCACAAAGACTGAAGCATTTTAAAGCTCCAGGTTTTACAGTAACTGGATACCAAAGTTTTCTATTGTTATAATTTCAAAAGAATGTTCCTAGATAAACGTAAACAACTGCTCCATAAGTTCCTAGAGCGTTTGAGTGTTCACAGATACACAGTAGATCAGACATCTGCACAGCTGAACTGTGCCTGCATATCTCAAACAACAACACGCTATGATTTTAATTTTCCAATTTGTAACTTATCAATTACCCAAAACATTAAAGAATGTCTTTTGCCAGCCAGGAAAATGTGCACGTGTGCTGCTTCATCTACACCTTTTCTGTGTAATCACGCTCGCATTGTTTTGACTCACAGGCGAGTACACATTGTACATGCAAAGCGAATAGCAACTTGTTAATCAAAACTATTTTAGTAGAGTAATCAATATGACAAAGTAGCTGTCTGGACTTCAGTGAGTAGTCAGCTGTTTGTTTGGCAGCCGGCTCTAATGGAAAGCTTTGGATGTGGATTTTGTCTGGCTGTGATTTTGGTCATTATAATTTCCTGTTGTAAAGGAAATATTTTCTTCCCCCCGTTGCTTCTTTTTCCTATTTTTGAAATTCCTTTTTTGGTTCTGTTCTCTCTGCGTTAGTTGCCATGGTAACATCATCCTTGGCCCAGTTGTGAATGACCTCTGAATGAAAAGGAGAGTGTGGTCTTGGAACAAATGAGCGAGCCATCAAAGTCTATTTCAGTGTGTATGGGTTTATGTGCTTCATTTATCACTCGAATCACTGGAATGATGAGACTTACTACAACCGTGGCACTGCTACTACTGCGAAAAACATCTCTCCATCCATATTAAAACAGAGCATCATTGTCATACAGTGGCATGTTGGGATGTTAAAGTCAATACAGACTATTATTTGATACTAATGGCTTTTTACATAATATCTATATTGATATTATGTTTCACATTTTATGTAATTAGCCAGTCAAATGTCTATCACTGGTTCCCACTCTTCAAAGTTACAAATGGTAGTAGATGGCATACCATCTGTACACAAATGAGACATTGTCTTCATGTCACAATGCACTCCTGCATGCGAGACCGAAGATAATGTGATAGTAATGAATTAAATGAAAACAGCAAGCCAAAGATGAAAGAGAAATTAGCAAAATGAGTATAGACCAGAATGATAGAGCGATGCAGATTTCAAACTTGAAGACAGGACTTGAGAGGACTGTCCAACAAAACAAATCAAAACAGCAAGTAGACCCTCCCTAATTTTCTGCTCCATTTATTCCCTCAAGACCATTGATATTAAACATTACCTTTCTGTAACATTCATTTATAAATATGATACAAAGCTGTTTCCAATATTGTTTTTACATTGTGGTACGTTGATACAGTCCAGTTGTACTCATAAGACACAACTCAGAAACCTGCAGCAAACTTTCTCACACCATGCAACAATGTTGTCACACATTGACAGTTGTATATTTATTGACAAGATGTACAGAAGGGGCTCATGGTGCCAGTCAATCGAATTCAACAAGATGTCACAACCAAATGCAATTTGGCATTTTATATGATGCACAGCTTTGTTGAGCAGAAGAGGGCACTAGTTGCATATGCTGCTGATAATTACCCTATTGGAGGCTGTCAGTGGTGGGCTCAACTGGTGCAGTGTGAGATAAATTATTCTGTTTCTGTCATGCTTGATGCCTGATACAAAGACTGACGATTAGAAGTCAAAAAAAGATGAGTGCTTGCAATCTTCTGCTAAAGTAGAATGAAATGTGTGGCATTTGAGATGCCAACAAAGAGGATCCCCCAGGAGACCGAAACAGGATATGTGTGTGGATACATTTTGGGGGAGGATGTTATGTTTGAGGAGCAAACCAAAACTGCATCACAGTTAGACCATACGCCTTCAATCATACACTAATGTAAGCTATTTTTAAAAATCCCCAACACCATTTAATACGTTTTGAACTGCTTAAAATATCCAAAGGGATAGTGTGACTGTCTTGATTATTGTTGTGTCGTCTGTCATAAAGAGGTGACAGCTTTTATTTGTGTTAATGTTTTTATAATAAATGCAAAATCGATAGTTAAATCATTGATCATATATTCATTTTCAAAATAACTTAGAATCGTCTGAAAAGCTCAAAGTAAAAATATTCATGGAACTGCTATTTTTGTATTTCTCTTATTTTGTAGGTAAACTTGCTTAATGCCACAATTTCCTAGAAAGACAAATACTAACAAATGCACCAGGCTCAATTCCCTGCACTTGCTCATGCAACACACACATACCTGTAGTGTTGTCAACTAACATTAATTGATATATTAAAAGAGAAATTTAATGCATTTTAAAAATCCAGAGATGGTCACTTTGTGCAGAAAAAGGTCCCACTGCTATAAATGACTAAAGACTAACAATATGCTGTCATTATTTGTAAAAGGATACATTCAGAGTATAATCCAATGTTTGTCTTCTAATACTTAAGTTCAGCAAAACCACTATCGTGCACCCTTGTTAAGTACAATGCTCTTATACGTTGGTGGACAATTTAGAAATTAATGGTAAAAATCAAAGAAGCAGCAGAAACCTGGACTTTTAGTCTTTAGTATCAGTCGAAGCTTTTTGGTCCAAATATTAAGTCTCAAGTTTAAGCTAATTAAAAATATTTTTTTATTCAAGCTTAAGAAAGCTCCCTCTAGATCAAGGGTGGAGAACCATAGTCTGCTGCTTTACCATTTGAATCTTGATAACATCCTTCAATGGCAATTCTAAATTACACACACTAACCTCCCTACTGCGATGGCTGGAAGTGCTTCTCTTTAATGATGCACCTGATCTCAGACAGTGGTGATGAATAATGCTAATACAAGCTGGTTTTTCAGGTTTTGGTCAGTCTTGAGTCTTCAGTGGAGTTACATGCAGCCAAAGAACTGAATTTCTGATCGTATAAGACAGAGTTTGGACTTTTAAAATGCATGTAAACACCTTAGTCGGATCTACATCGGTAAAAAAAAGGACCATAACGGAAAAGAACACCTAGATAAGTCGTTCATTGTCTGCATTCTAATGCCATGTATACTCAGCCATCGTATCTAAATCGAATTTTGCATTCTGCGCATGCTCGAGAATTTCCGCCGGGGCTTTCACCCGGAAGTGGAAGGAGATGGCTCTGGTAACAAATAGTAGTGTTGTTGTCGAAAAAAACAACGACACCATGGCGTCGACAAGATCAACAACTCACTTCTGGACGGACAAGGTGATCCGGTTCATTCATAGTTTGTTGTTGCTGTGACGTAAGGTCAACCGGAAGTGGCTCTGCAACCACTTGTTGAAAGGGCTAAAGCGCCACATAGCGTAGCAGATTCAGCCATGCACCGGCCACTCATTGGATTCTCTGAACAGCATATATACTCAGACAAGTGAAAGCGGTTCGTTCAGTGACAAAATCGGTATATGGTTTAATCGTATCAAGCTATCCCGTGTATACGTACTGAGTGTCAAGGAGAGCAACTCTCTGTCCCGAAAGAGATCAGACTTCAGTGTGTGTCTCCTACGAACGTGAAAATCTTCTTGTTATACAGCACATGTAGGTTATAGATCTTGAGTAGAGGGATGTTGGATTTAGTTTGGATGTCAGGCACATCAGCTGGCTCCACATTAAACATTTTTGTTTACTTTTCATGTCCTAAAACTTTGTGCACATTCAGCAGCACATTCAAATGCCGTTGGAGGTTTCAGCTTCTCGTCTATTAGTCAGCTCACTACAAAACTAACCTGAAAGACATGGTCTCTGTCAGAATGCAGTCTAATGAACGCTGCTTGTTGGACACCTAAAGTCCTCCCAAGAGCAGTTACTTAATCCAGTGGCAATTTTCCTTTTAACTCATCCAGTTTAGCTGCATGTTTCCAATGGCGATGATAACTGGTTTCCTTTGAAACTGTTACATTCTGCTTGTGTTTTTCTTGACAGTCACTATGCTGCTTGTCAGTGGTGACAATA